GTACAACGATGAAATCTGAAGAACACCGACTAATGCGATGAATTTAGCGTAATTTTAACAGTTATTGATATATGTAGCAAAGAAAAAAGAAATAAAAAGAAGGGGAAAGACTTTGTTTATATTGTACGTCAATGTCATTGTTAAATTAAAGTAAGACATTCTTTTTTCAGATAAACTTTACAAGAATGTACTTATTTTCTATTTGATGTCAATAATACATTCGTTACTCATTATACAAAGATTAGTTACACATTATACATAGATTACACCCTCTGTTGTTATTAAATCACGTGACAGAACTACTTTGTATTAGTATTTACTCCAAGATTATTATCAATAACAGTCGAGGAGTTCCGATTGTATAGTTTCAAGCATAGAAAGTTCTTATTTGTAAAAAGATTCAGACTACTCCTCTGTCGGTAATGTCTAGACTCACAATGTACAAAAAAGTAGTTTCTTGACCTTTGACCGTTTCTCTACATTTATTAAAAGTAAGACATTCACTGTTAGATATCAATAAAACATTGCAATCTCAGGCACTGTGTTAGTCACATAATGTGTCTATGGTAGCAGGAGACGCGTTAATCAAATGTTCGAATTGCCCGCGAGCGACCAAATCATTGTGAGTTATCCGTGTTTATAGATAATGCTATCAAATAATAATTATATTATTATTTTCTTCTTGATTTTTTGAGATTGTTTCACAGCTGCACAGTGACTCGATCATATTGTATCATAATATATAATTGCTTATGAATTTGAAAATAACTTCAAATCAACAAAGCCCCCGATAAAGGCCATAAATCAGACTAAAATTATATAAAAAAATGGAAAGAAGAGAAGGCTTTATCCTCGCGTTTTATGTTCTGTAAAATTGCCAATGCCTTTTTTCTTATGCTTTTTCAGTTATAAGGGGGATACATGAATTAGCAAAATGCAAGGTTAAGCTGATTTTCTCTTCATAACTTTGAGTCTGCTTTCTACATTAGATAAAAAACATCATAACAATACTCATTTTACAGATAATATATATATATTTTTTATGTTTTTTATCCACTTGAAAACAAAAGTTTAATACTGAAGTAGAAACTGTGTTCACAAAGACAGGTAGTGTTTTCATAAAGACAATCTGTGCTTAATTGTACGAAATGATATTCACAATAATACCCGCATTATGCACCATCAGCGTTATAATGTGTTTATTGTATACTGTATCATTCTTAAATGCCAATGAAGTTGCACTTCCCCACCTTAGATGCCTTTTTCTATTCATGCAATATACTTATGTATTTAGTGATGTAATTGAGTGTGCAATCTGTGCGTAAGTGTTATTGTTCACTTTATCATTCTTGAATGCCAAAACAGTTCCTTTTTCAACCAATTTATATGCTCTTGGTATTCATGCAGTGAAGATAAAACAATTTTAAAAGTGTATATGCTGTAGTAGCTTTCTGAGGTTATGTATCTTGCTACGAACAGCGTTGGAAAATTAGATCTCGCGAGATATAATTTTCCCATGATGCATGTCGCAAAAAAACATGGCCTCATAAAGCTTCTACAACAATATAATCCTTTTATCATATACCCCCACATTTTAAGACAAGAACAGTAGCAATATACTTAATTTTTCTTTTAGTTATTTAAAGCTGGCAAGAAATAAAATTCACGTGTGACAGATTAATCGAATTAATTTTGCAAAAGAGGCAACGCCTTCAATAGTTTCAGATCCCGTTTTCAAATGCTACGTAATACACAAACAACGTGAACAATAGTCTGAAAATGGAACCGTATTTGTCACTAACATAATACGGATTTTCCTATCCGTTGTAGAGTATCCGCGCTTCAAGATTTGTATTTTTGTACGAAAATGTATAGACGTATAATAAAATAATTTATACAGTTAAAAGTCAACCTCTTTGTCTATATGACCGCCTTTTATGTTCGCCATAAATCCTTAAATAGATCGCGGAAATGCGTCCTTATTAAATACTCCGACAACTTTTGACATGATTTGAAAGGGAATCCACATAAAAGATCAATTTAATCGTTGATTGAAGTTTCTGATTGTCATAATTTCATCAATGAAATGAAAGTTGCGCAATCGATAGTGCTGTTATTACGAAAGATATTTCTTGTGATTTGGTAATAACATTGAGTCATATTACAATCGATATGATGGCAATCATTATAATCATAATCCGACTCCAGTTATCCAGTCAAGTATAAGGACTTTTTTACGTTTGTTGTACAGGTTTTCTTTTCTAAATGTTTTCTGTAAATAACTAGATTGATGCAGCAAATTATCGTGTACGAATACGTTTCAGAACGAAGTTTAAGAATAAGTTTGAAATAAAAAATCATGTTATGTAGCATTTAATAATATTGGATCATACTGTTTCTCCTACCATTAACATTGTTTTTATCAACATTGTGCCGGCTCGCCACGGCGAGCCGGTATTACGGTAGGATTTTACTGAGAAACAACCTAAAACTCCGAAGCCATCCAAAAATTTAATCGACGCTTGGCTTCCAGCTTTCTACAAAATTTATCTATCAGGCCTAGGATCCAAAATTATTTAGCCAATCAAATTTAATCTTACATAGCGTCAAAAAACCTTCAATTTTCACGCCATTTTTAAAAATCAGCAAGTATTGGTTTGAGCGCAAAGATATAATGATGATTAAAATGTTTGTCTTTATGAATTCTTTTCAATAAATCATATTTACACTGACTTCTGATTTAGCGATTTCACCTGTTTTCTCTGTAGTAAGTTTTCGTTTGGTTAATTAACATAAGTGTACATCTGGTTCTGTGCATTTTTTATTTTTCCCTTTTTCCAGTCATTTTATCCTTTCCGGTATTTAGTGTATGTATTTACTGGCCGGGATCCGGGACGCCCGGGATCCGGGATCGGAAAAACCTAATGAACTATATTTGTGTTGATTGTTGTCGTAATGAAAGGCCATTAAACGTTATTTTTTTTATTGTATATAATGAACGTTAAATTAATTTAACTTAGAATATAGATATATTTAGAGCTATTTATTAACAAACTTAAAATGCGGAAATCACAATACATATAATTATATGCCTAATTAATTGGAAAAATCAAAGACTATTTTCTTGAATTGGTCAAATCCCGGGATCCCTATATGTTTTAAAACGATCCCAGCTTTTCTGAAAACTATATACTTGAACTGGCCAATCCGTGAGATCTATTTACATTTTAATACGATCCCGGTATTTCTGAAAACTATATTCTTGAACTGGTCAATTCCCGGGATCCCTATATGTTTTAATAGGATCCCGGCTTATCTGAAAAACATCTTCTTAGACTGGTCAATTTCCGGGATCCCTATATTTTTTTAATAGGATCCCGGCTTTTCTGGCTGAATTGATTGACAACTTGTGTTTACTTTAGGACTTGTGCCTCTCATTCCAATACTAAATAACATACATGTATTACAACTTAATTTTGTATAAAGAGACATCTTTATGAAATCTACCTATCTAATATTTTGTGGTCAAGGTCAACAGGCCATATAGTAAATGTGCATAGACATAAGTTCTTCATTCTATCTGTTTACATGCACCTCCAAATATACTCATACTCATCTTGGTTAAACTGAGAGAACTTTATATGTCACTTTCAGTCAATGAGTTTAAGATTTTGAATTTACTGGCCCGAATTCCAGTTTTGAATTTATTCTACTAAATAATTAACAAAATTTTCTTAAATTTACACTGGCCTGAACTTATATACACTGGCCATCGGGCACCGGGCCAGTGTTGACTTCACTTTTATTTTGATGTTCGCTGAAGTCTCTTCAGCTAACAGAACTGTCATTTTTACATTTAAACACACCCCTTGAAAAAAATTACGAAGCGAGTCGCTACTAGCTTTTTTAAAAGCTAACCTTGTTCTACCTATGCCTAATTTTAGACTCCAAAAAATGGTATTGCACGGCCGTTTGCGTTATACAAACATAGTGTAAGACGCGCTAAATGTTAGCGTAACAATAAAGGCGCGTAAATGAAAATTGATTCTTTGCACTTGAAACAGTTTATATTTTAGGTATGTGATAAACAGGATATTATATTCGTGTAGATTCATTACTAAATGTATTGAACTCGTTGACTTAAACAATATCATGCTTGCCTAAGCCTCGCATAATATAACTTTATTCAATAAATTAAGCACTGAACGTACACTCGTCCAATATATTCTATTTATTAATTAGGTTATGCCTTCGTGTTACTATTTTAAATAAATATCACTTTCCAAACACAACTTCTGTATGCATTTTTTAATGGTTTAATCTGTTAACATTGTTACAAACATTATAACATTCACAATTGACTCATTCATTTGTTTCAGCAACATATTTATTTAACATATATAACATTATAATTCGTTTATAATAATGATATCAACCAAAGAAAAGTAGCAACAATGTAATATACATAAATATGTCTTTAAACTTCTGTAGTTCAAACGTTTTGCATAGATTGAGTTATTCTTCAACGTATTGCATTTGTGACGTTCGTATTTAATAATGTTTGATAAAGAAAATTGTGTTCACATAACTAGTTTCAAGCAATGATATATTATCTGCAATAAGAGCAAAACAGTATATAATTGCTCTAAAGATACAGTCCTCCATATGTTTCAATAATAACCGTTAACAAAAGTTAAAACCAAAAATATGAAAATACCAAAGCATATATTTAAAGAAAATATAAATCAAACACTAACTTCGTTCTTGATTCAGTTTCCACTTTGCATTGTGCAGTTTCTGTATATTAGTTTTACCAAAGTAAATAAATAATTTTCTTGACTATGCAATATTCTGTGTGCTTTAAATGTTAATTAACTCGCATTGAGCATGTGCATTAGGAATATTGTAGTGATATTGAAGTAAACTGTATCTTTTACATTATTTATAGGAGATATTTTTATGCGTCAACACTAACGCATTTGTTTTAAATTAAGAAGTCAAATGTTAGTGTAATGTTTAAATCTTGAATAATTTAGGTCTAACCCATACAAATAAATCAAACAGATACAACTGTGACTGTTATAATAAAGATAGAACATTCATAGCGCAGAACAGTTGTGTCATAATTTGGGTTTGTTTACTTATCAAACATATGCATAGACAAAAACTAGATACCTTTCTACTGGAATGTTTTAAAAAGAGATTATCACATACAATCTTTACAAAAGCTATTTACAATCTGCAAAATCAAGCGTTTCCGTTCATTCAATTTAAAACAAAATTAAACAAAACAAGTAAATTTACAGACACAATACCTGTCAAGCAATGTGTTAACGATTAATTTTTAACTTTTACATTTTTCTTTTCTATTTCGATATGTATTTGATTTTGCAGGAAAAAAGATAATGACAGGTTCCTCAATCCAATCATGTTGTTGTTATTGTTGGCGTTTGGTTTCACGTTCCACCAACACATTGTAGGTCCTAGCTCTCGAGCTTTACTTGTAGATGTAGACCTCAGGTGTCCGGCTGTGCATTTTTTCAGTCACAAATGGGTAACTTAGTAGAACCGTCAATATTCCTTAATCTAGCTGGATTATCCAATTATGTATATATAAAATATTTGTGAGAAATAATTGTTTTTGTCATTCAATTTATACTAGAACACTTGCTGATCTTTATCAAGAGATGAAAGACATATTGAATTGTTGATAATACATGTTGCCAATATCGAAAGATTTCCTATAGATATTTAGATGTGTATGACTGGTAAACTACATATTTTACATTGATATGAATCCTTATAACCAATCAAACAGAATGAAAATGCATAGCTGTGCTAATGAAAACTAAACGTCGTTTTACGTTTTTTTTCTTCAAAAGAAAAAGTTCATATCCACAACAATTGAAATATTCATATGATCAGTTTTAGCTATTTCGTTAACATTGTCATGAGAGTCCAACTTATATGATAATAAATAACTTTGGCCGAACTATCTTGTTTTTGTTTTTTTTTTTAGAAATTGCCGGATATTTCGTTGATTGGCATTTTGATTGACAGAGGTATCAATCAAACAGCTTTTAACTGTTCACACATATCACATAACTGACTAACATATTCTCCATAACAGTTTGACTTCAAACTGTTTGTTGCTTTTGTTCCTTGAAGGTACTCCATTTTAGACAAAATTGACATATCGATCTTCTAGATAAATTGCTGCTATAGACCTGTATAATTGCCACTTGGATTTCCAGCACTATGCATACCAGATATTCTATCGTTGTGTTTCCGAAGCATTTCGTTGGAGTTTCGAACTGAAAATACAAAATCATTGTGCAAATATATTAATCTTTTAACGATCAATCTCCAACAAATATCATGAATAGAATACTATCTAAGGTCCTGACGTTTAGTATTTGTAAGATACTAGAATTACGTATGTTCCCTACATTCTAGTACCTAGAAGAAAAACAGGCATTTCAAGTGAACAGTTCTATAATTTTCACGGAAAACATCATAACCCATCTAACTTATACCTCCGTTAAACATTTGCAACAATAAAACATTCAACATTTTCAACCAGTCGTTCCCGTAATTATGGAACACCATCTTAATCTTAATTACGACGAATTAAGTAACTTTTATTCTCGAATCTTTTATCATGTTGTATAGTAAAATTAATAGATCAGCTTTTACTTTTTGCTTGAAAATAAGTTAATTTTTTTACAATATCTAATGTATATGCATATAAATATAATATTTTAGATATTATTATTATTATTATTATTATCATTATTATAACTACTATTATGGGATAACGGTTTTATGATGTGTGCTTGATTTCGAAAAAGACAATTCCAGTAAACAGTATGTACCATTAATTAGTATGTATGCCCAGCTTATTTGAGCATTTGTATTTTAGTTTTTAAGAAATATATTTGTTTCCAGATTATCCTTTTTAGTTTTAAAGAAAATATCTAACTAAGAAAATACAGGTTCTCCTGCTGATGTAAGCATAATGCAAAAATTCTGTAAATAGTCTCAGTGTTTAATGTAAAAGTAAGCTGTAGAAGACATCTGTATAGGATAAAAGTCATACGGAGAATTTATAAAATGATAAGAAGTATCCTTAAAAAAAGATAGTCGGCCGAAATAAAACTGGTTAACTTGCAAATGATAATTCTTAGTTTTCCATGCAAAGTCATAAAGAAATGTTAGTATAGCTGGCATAACAATGTCATACTAATTTCTTGTAGGATTATTAATCTTGAAAGATTGGATATTTTAAAATGTACGTGTTTCTAAACAAACCTGTCGTGTTTCGGTAAGTGAACTCAATTTCTATTACCAACATCTACGAAGAAGTATATTTAATATCGATTTTTTAGAACGTTTCAAAATTTACATTTTTCTCGACCTATAAATGTTTGGGCTTTTAAACACTCAAACCATTTACTATGGCAATTTGTTTCAGGCTTGACTATTTTTGAACTAGAATGACTGGACTGTTATTATAGATACCATCAAAAGATATTCCGATGTGTGTCAAATTAAACACGCTAATAATTTGGACAAAAAAAATAAGATATCAAATTTTGTTTGATCATTCATTAAGACGAAACTAGCATGTTTTATTAAACCAATGTTTTATGTTCGTTTTGATCAATCGATCCCAATATACAAACATACTTCTCTATAACACTCAACATCGTTTTAATCGAACTGAAACTTTAACAAACAAATTTTTTAAACAGAAACACCGTTTCAAGCAGGAAATACGTACACGGAATCAGACATTGATATACAATTTAAGTATCCAGTTTCCATTGATTGCCAAGAAATACAAATATTTTGGATCTCATTCAAAACATTTAATGTATAAATAGAAATACAATACCTCTGAGAACAGTTAAGATGTTTCAATACATGATAAATAAGTTATTCGGAATACAATCAAAATAAGTAACGAAACGTTCAATTCAATGTGTTTATCAATATTTTACATTTAAACGTGAAATATAAAAGTCAAAAGTGAAGTATCTTATAATACATATTTTAACAAACGATTTCAGAAATAGATAAATAAATAAATAAAATAAAAATGAAATATGTGTGCTGTAGATGTTCGCACCACGCTCAATCGGTCATTTGGGGTGCAATATAATATATATTCTACTGTTTGTTTTTGTTTTGGGTTTTACGTCACATTGACACAGTATAGATCATATCGCGACGTTCCAGCTTTACTGGTGGAGGAAGACCTCAGGTGCCCTTCCGTGCATTATTTCAGGCACGAACGGGCACCTGAGTAGAACCACCGACGTTTACTGTATGGTAGCATGACCAACATGATATGAATGTCGGGCTGTCATTTATAAACGTCACAACATAGCCAGCCACTAAACAAATTATACTAGACTACATTAAAAAGTTGTGTTTCCACCGTTAGTATAGAACGACCTCTGATTATAAAGATTCTGTCAGATACAAGTAATCATTTAGACACATATTTTACCACACACTCTAAACAAAACAGGTAACCAATATTATACCACAAGAAATAATTCAGACACTGTAAGTCTAGCTCTAATCTATAAATTTCATATGATATTTTTTCAGCCGTAAGCGCGATGTTTTCCCCTTGACTTCCGGTATATAAACGAGCTATATAAACTTTACTTTACACTTTATTTGCCGGGCAGTGAAATGCACGGGCGATTGCTCGGTATTTTGAAGACACGTCATTCCGTTGATATGTAATTGCTGACCATTGATAATAATATTTTCATTGATAGAACACTAAGAAATAACTCAACATATATAAAAGACTTAAAAACCTGGCACATTATTTTGCTTAGTATTTAGTTGTTTTGATTAATTTGACATATACCGTAATAGAATAATGAAATATCTGATTCTCATATGTTGATATACAAATTTGAATATAGTATTAAAGCAATATCTATCAGTTGGAAAAAATCCTTTACCTTAAGTTAATAAAGTTTACATAAAATATTACATAGATTTTTAACACATCCTTTATATAAAACATTCTGTTTTTTCTGTTATTTGTTCATTTGATATATTGTATAGATCTTTATTTATATACTTTGAAGAATATTTGTCTGTTCTGTCCATAAGCATTAAACAATAAATGTAAATGCAAGATTGTAATTGAAATAGTTAAGTTTACGATATACATATCAATGTTATTCCAGACCATATGCTTACACACGCTAAACATTGAAAAAAAGAGATTCCTTAAATTAAAGAATAATTTCTGATTTGAATAGAAATTTGAATTGATGACTAAATGAAGACAAATATTCCGGGCAAACAACTGGTTCTTATTCCTACCAAATAAAACGGCAAACCTACCCATTTCATCAATGTCCTTCGCCATATAAAGCGAAACTGTAACCAAAGTAACACTGATTAAAAATAATATTCCGGAAATAAGGGCCACCGCACGTGCTATTCGTTTTCTTTCTTTTTCCTTGTTATCCAATAAGTCTACTTCATTTTCTGTTAAACAAGATATTGGTGCAAGGAAAAATTCATCCGCAGTTTCGATTTCAGAAGACAGTATTTCAATTTTATCAAATTCATCTTCACTGTTGACGTCATCGTAACTATTATTGTAGGTGATCACTAACATATCCCAGGATTCACAATTTATGTCACGCCTGACATATTATAAAATTAGTTTCCAATTGATTAAAATACCTTTTATTTAGATATCATACCAAAATTGATTGCAAAATAATCCAATATTCGAACCAACATTTCCATTTTCGGCCTTATTAGAAATAAACTCTTATCCATTTATCATAAAATTGACAAAACCAATCTGCAAAAGACAATTTCTGCACTCCGTGACAATAAATGAAATTATGCAACATTTAGTAATAACCTTAAACAATTTAAAAAATAAATTTATATTTTTTTGATAATTTCCATCATTCTTTGTATTCACAGAAACTCCGATATATAAACTCCTATGCTACTAATGTTATTAACTGCAGTGTTTGTAAATTTGTTCTATCTTTAGATTCTCCAGGAATAGCAAGGCGTATTTTCATGATCTTATGTGAGCGCTTTCCTATTCCCAATAGACCCCGGGACAATTCAAAACTATCAGAAGAGAAAAGCAGCTAATAAATAATTCAAAGCGCAGTCAAATAATCTCTCTATGATAGCAGGGACGAGGTTTATAGAATATCCGATTTTTAACAACTCTGTGTAATTCTGTTATAACGCATTTCATGTTTTTAATGCTTTTATTTTTTTTTGTTTACACTTGGCAATGATAGTTTTTTGATGGAGGATCCAAAGGAAATATTTTGTTTTATCTGTACTTAAATGATATAAACGCACAGCCTATGTCACAGTCGATTACAATAGGAATTTATAATTATTTTCATATACTTAATCATTGACAAATAACTATAAAGACGGAAAAGTACGATGTTTCACAAGCGGCAAATATGTTAATTTTTAATAAGGTCATTAATGGGTCAATCTATTTAAAAGGGTGTGTCTTAGTTATGTACAAGTTATTGAACATAGTATCAATGTTGCATGTTTAATTTAGAGACAAATAAAGTGGATACTATATACATATCATATATGAATACTCGTTGTATATCTTTGAATAAAATTATTAAATGTACTGTATTCAAACTCTGTATTATTGACCCATCTCTATTATCGACGTATTTAAAATCGTTTGTAGTGTTTGATTTTATTAACCTGTCAATTGCATCAATTGCATACTGATTACACGGTCAATGCACACAATATATCAATCTTCGATAAATGGTCGGTAACATTCGTGAGATGTACGCAGTACGATTTGATTAAATTTACCTTGTTTCTATGAAAAAGTGATACTGACCGTTCTAGCGCAATAGGATAAAATACCGGTTTTTAACTTTTAAATGTTCCAGGTGTTGTAAGATCTAGACTGGGTATGTCTATCTTTTTTCTTATTCATATTTTCAGCATTATCGGAGGTATGATTTTTCAAGCTGTTCTTTTTGTTCTTTGATATATTCTGCACTTATTTAGGCAAAGACCATACAATTTCTAAATATTATGGTTTAAGAATTAAACTTAAAATCAATAAATGTCATTTCAATGCCATCAATTTCAATTCAAAACAGACAAATCATTTGTAAGTTGTTCCATATTCGTATAGACAAGCCCTATTCATTAAAACATACTTCAAAAATAAAGAAATGATAGGTATAAAACAATGGTAATAGTAATTAATCTCTAAAGAAGCCCAACACGACAAATGTCGCAGGCTCGGTTTGATTGAACCTTTTCATGGACAGTAATGGAAAAGTGCAAGTTACCGTCCACGCCCCCAAACATTAGTCATACACTCCAAATTAATTCTCGTAATTTATACGGACAGAACCGAAGTGGTATCTAATATTCAAATGGGTGCTATAATGTTTTCATAATTGACAGGTCAATAAAATGAGACTGTAATGTGCGATCATGTGTACGTTGATCATAACTATCTTTTTCCATGGTCACCAAGAATGCAATTAGTTTGCTTTACACTTAACATAAACAGATTAAGTTCGCCATTGATACTCAATACGGGCAGAGTGAAAATGTAAAGTACGTCGATAATACGGCGCTTCCTGCTATAACACATGTTTGTATGATTCAGTGGTACATATAAGTACATATTAGTTATAATACATATTTTAAATTTTCAAAACGACAATCACTGACATGGGTTACATTTCCTTATCCGTTGCGTTGCGTTTTCACCTATTCAAATGTATAGTAATTTTTGGTTTAATACATTAACAGACGTCTATTTTGTTGTCTGAAATCTAAAATATATCGACTAAACAATTAGTATAATGTGAAAGTCCTGTACTTAAACTTTATTAAATACGATCGATGTATTGAATTGTTGAAGCATTTAGATATAAAACCCATTGCTATGTTTACTGAAATAGAAATTATATTTACGGTATTTCAGTCAAATATTTGCAAATGACAGATAATGTGAACTAAATTCATTAAAACAGCTTGGTTATTTGACATTGATTTATATTTCTTATGATTTCAATTAAAATAATCAAACATAGTCTCGGCCGTGCTTTAATATTAACAAGGGAGAGCTACCAGTTTGGCAATATTCAGTCATACGTGACCTTCGGAAAGACGCATAGGAAATGGATAATGGAAACATGCATTCTATCATTTCTTTTAAAAGTAAACTCCTTATCTCGCTTAATATCTTAAATGATTTGTCCGGATTTTAATCTGTTAAAGTCCATTCATGGCATTTTTGTTTTGATTTTGTTTGGTTAGATTTTATGGCGCAACAACACAGTTCAGGTGATATGGCGCCGAAACAGGCATGATCATTTTGACTAACCTCGGGATATAAACTTAAAAAATACTATTGATCAAAACCAATCATTTGCCACAAGAGAGGGACGTTTTTAGCATTTGCTGACTGAATAGCAAACAGTTCAAGCCACATTTACGCCGTTTGATCTTTGTCTGTAAATGTATTGGTAAATTAGGCGAAAGGGTAAAGATAAAATAATTTTACACATTACTCCGTCGTATTTAAAATTAAACGAAAATATCAACAATGAAACTGATGAAAATGCCGTTATGAGCTGTTTAAAAGCAAAATAACAATTTAGATATTGATTTACACTTTAGATATTTAGTATTTATCGGATGCCAAGGAAAGCATACATATTTTGGATCACATTCAAAACATGAAATGTACAAAGATTTAATACTTCTGGGAATTGTTAAAATAGTTATATGCATGGCAAATAAAAATGATCGATTGTAAAACCGGTTTATATAAGTATATATGTACTTTAAAGTCTTGTTTGATTTCTTACACTCTTTAAGATAATATAATTTATATATAAAGTCATCTCTTAAGTTATTACCACTATCAATAATCACTAAAACAAAATATTTTTACAGAAGAAGTATAAAGTATATAAACATAAATAGGGTCACGATGTCTCAATTACAATTTATCGGACATTTATTATGACATTTACCCTTAACAGAATTGGCTTTGTATAAATTAAACAGCGGATAAAAAAGTGTGATCCCTCGGAAGCCTCAGACAATAGAAGGTCAGGTTATAGCTTTATGCACAACATAACAAGCTATATATTGTTTTACTTATCTTTAACGCTGCCTAGATTTTTTATTTATATTTTATTCACATTTTGCAGAAAAGTCAGCTGAATAACTCATACTTATGTTATTATTATTATTATTATTATTTATATTATTATTATTATTATTATAATTATTTCAAAAGAGAAATGAAAAGGATTTTATTGCGTTTTGAGCATCATACTCTGGAATAACACTGTTTCTTCTGACAGATACGCGTACACAATAAATGTGTTGATTTGCATTTAATTTTAATTATTATACTGAAGGTGAGGGAAAGCTTTTTTTAGAAATGGATCCTGAAATAATACCAAAGTCAAACGTGTATATTTATATTTATCAATGTTACGTACAGGTCAGATATTTTTTATTTAATTGCAATTTTGTTAGAATTGTATCAATTCATTTTTTATTAAAAAGCATCGGGTTAAAGTATTGTACGCGAAAAGTTTATTATTATACACACATATGATAATGAAAATGAAAGCATTAATGTCCGGTTTTAGCAATTATCTGAATGGCTGGAGCCCACTTAAGCATACTCTAGAATGATTGAAACAATTGTTGTCTATTTTGTAAAACTGAAATAAATGAAATATGCCATTTTTTGTCTTTTTAATCACATAATTAAAGTAAAAATAAACAAATGTATGAACAAATTATCGAACTACAAAATTTGCAAAGGATTTATCTCATTGCAACAGGTCAGTCCCTGCAATGCTATATGTTTCATCAAACCGAGCATAAAATGTATCTTCAAATATTTTAAAACTTAACTGATGAACTTAAGAATAAGTAATAGAAAGAGCATCGAAACACGAGGCTATTTGATTTGTACGAGGGGGCGTAGCCCCCGAGTATTAATCAGATTGCCGAGTGTTTTGTTGTATCATGTAACATAAAAACACGTTCCCTGTTGTCACAATATGAAACCCCAGAAAAAAGTAGTCAATGAACGAGCATCTAAATATGATATTTCTGTCACTTTCCCTTTCTCTGCCGTCACAATAAGTAAACCCCAGCAAAAATGAGCCAATCAGAGGGCATGTTCTGGAGTGCGGGTAACTAATACCTGTACTCCAGTTAACGCACTGTGCATGTATATGTATACGATTTAACTCCGACACATTTTCAACAGACAACAGAATGGTTCCCAAACTATAATACAAATCATACAAACTATGATATAATTTAGCGGATGATTACAAATTTAGATATGTTAAATAATTTAAAGCTTCTCAGTTTTCAGACGAATCTAATCTAGTTATTCCATTAGACATTCTGTCTCGAGTTTTCATATTGTACTTTAATTGAAGTAAAAGCAATTTGGCTAATATATTAAATATTTCAAGTAACATCCAAAATAAACGCATGTATGTATACCTGATTTATTAGGATATATTTTGTAATACTTTATTGTATTTCCGTTGTTATGCAAAACAGTAAAAATTGAAAATCACTGAGTTTGAGTGCTTTAACTATGAATGGACCTTATGTTTATACAATAAATACATTTTGTATATAAAATAAGCTTTAACCATACTCGACTTTAATGATTTTAAATTCACTTAGTGGGATAATTATATATTATTAGAATTTTATACTACAACCGGTACAGACCAATGTCTCGGTCGCGGGTAATTGTGAACAGTGATAACCAGGTTTTATCGTGTTTCTCCGCAAAAAGTTCCAACTGTAACGACAACCAGCGTTTAATTCTATTTCTTGCACAATGACCACATATATATAATATTTCAGAAAAATATTTCGAAAAAAAATATTTATGTTATGAAAACTTCACACAAAAAGCGCCAAAATGACGTTATTTCTTAGCACGCGACTCCCCTCCTTCCCATCAATATGCCAGATGACATTTCCAGTATGTGTAAAAATTAAAGGAAACATCAGTCTTATATATGCAAGAATACATTTTTCCGTCATGTATTATGTGCTTCAAATATTGCAGATATTCTTTTTTATTATAACCATCAAGTTTAGAAGAAGGTTAATAAATATCGAATAATGTTTATGCAGTAATCTTATTTTAAATATAAAATCACTTTTTTCAAATGGCAACGCATTGATCGTTCTGAAAAA